CTGGCCCCAAAGAACCAAAAAAGAAAAAGAAAAACCAACGGAGCTCGGTGCTCAGTACGGGATCTCCACGCAATCGGATTACAGGATTTCACAGGACAAGATTTGAAAATCAAAAGAGAAAGACCCAGTGTGGCCCGGATGACTCAGACAACTGCCCCCCAGAGACCTTGAGAAAAGCCTCCGGCTGCCCCATGTTCAGGGCCGGCCAGCGGGGTCCCGAGAAGGGGGGCCAGGTCTAAGGAGATGGGCTCCTTCCTCCGCTCATTCATTCATTCGTTTCCCAAGCCTCCCGGGCTGCCGCGGGGCACGGACGGGACCGTGGGTGCGCCTCCACTCCTGGCCCCCGCCTGAGAGGCGGGGAGGGGGCTCGGCGAGAGGCAGTGCCCACCCATCGCTGCCCCTGCTCCCCNGCCGGTGCCCGCCTCGGCGTCAGCCCTGGGGGCAAAGTCGGCCGATCCTTCCCCACCCGCGTCAGGGAGCCGCCGAGGGGGGAGCCGCTGCGCGGCGGCGAAGGGTCCCTGGGGGGAGGCTGGGCAGGGGGAACGCTCTGCTGAGCACCGGCCAGGCCTGGGCGCCCATGGGAGCCTCTCATCAGCACATGAGTGTCGGGTTCCTGTCCTCGTGGGCTCACTGGAAAGTGCAGCCCGAGCTTTTCAGCAGACGCTGCCACCGGCGGGCGAGCGCGCTCCCGGGCGCCTGGGCTCCCGCGCAGCGCCACGACGTGGCCCCACTCCAGGCCGGGCCCCGAGGCAGCCCCGAGGGCGAGGTCGGGCTCGCGCGTGGCCTGTCCCTCGGGCTCCCCAACACGCCTCCAGCAAAGCTCCTAGGTGCTCCCCTCGGCTCCCAACCTCCGCCTGGTCCGGGGAGGGTGCTGGGGACGTGGGCAGAGGCCCCTCCCACGCGCTCCTGGGCCCCCGGGCCCTCCAGCCCCCACCGGCGCCCCTCACCCACCTTGAGGACCTGCTGCTTGATCATGGAGGGCACCGACACCATCATGACGGCGCCCAGCACGGCGCACAGCAGCCCGAAGAAGCCCAGCGCCGCGGCCGCCCAGCGCGCTCTGGCGCTCCTGCCCATGTCTGCGCTTCCCGGGGCCAC